AAGGCTCTCTCCCACTCAGCTCCCCCTCACACCCCGCTCACCAAAGAGAGTAGCGCGTTCCCGGCGGCCAATCGGCGCGCCGTCGCCCTTAGCAACTACGTCCATCAGCCTCGCTCGGCCAATGAGCGCGCGGGGCGGGGCGGCGCGGAGTCGCAGGTGAGCCTCCGAGTCCACTCGGCAGAGCGCCTGGGAGGGAGCCGACTGTAAGCAGCGGGCGAGAGGATGCGTGCGTCAAATGCGAGCTGGTTCTAATGCGAGCTGCCAGTCCGGCTCCGAGCGTCATGGCGACCGCAGCGTCTAACCACTACAGCATCCTCACCTCCAGCGCATCCATCGTGCACTCGGAGCCCGGCAGCATGCAGCAAGCCGCGGCTTACCGGGACGCGCAGAGCCTGTTGCAGAGCGACTACCAACTGCAGGGCAACGGCCACGCGCTGAGCCACGCTCACCAGTGGATCGCCGCGCTGTCCCACGGCGAGACGGCCCCGTGGTCCTCGGAGCAGGACATCAAACCGGCGGTGCAGAGCGCCCGGGACGACATGCACAACTCCAGCAGCAACCTACAGCACCAATCGCGGGCGCCGTCCCACCTGCCGGTGCACCAGACGGCGCACGGGGGGAACCACCACGACGCCCGGGCGTGGAGGACCACCACGGCGGCGCACATCCCCAGCATGGCGACCACCAACGGCCAGAGCTTGATCTACTCGCAGCCGAGCTTCGGCGTCAACGGGCTGATCCCGGGGCCGGGCGGCGGCCAGGGGCTGCACCACCACAACCTACGAGACCCTCACGAGGACCACCACAGCCCGCACCTGAGCGAGCACAGCCATCCGACGTCTCAGCAGCATCAGCACCAGCACGGCCCGAATCACCACGACCACTCGGACGAGGACACGCCGACCTCGGACGACTTGGAGCAGTTCGCCAAACAGTTCAAGCAGCGGAGGATCAAGCTAGGCTTCACGCAGGCGGACGTGGGGCTCGCCCTTGGGACCTTGTACGGGAATGTGTTCTCCCAGACCACCATTTGCAGGTTTGAGGCCCTGCAACTCAGCTTCAAAAACATGTGCAAGCTGAAGCCTCTGTTGAACAAGTGGCTGGAGGAGGCGGACTCCACCTCGGGCAGCCCGACCAGTCTGGACAAAATCGCCGCACAGGGCAGGAAAAGAAAAAAACGGACCTCGATCGAGGTCAGCGTCAAGGGGGCTTTGGAAAGCCATTTTTTGAAGTGCCCAAAGCCCGCAGCCTCGGAAATAATCTCCCTGGCGGACAGTCTGCACTTGGAGAAAGAAGTGGTGAGGGTTTGGTTTTGTAACAGGAGACAGAAGGAGAAACGGATGACGCCTCCCGGAGGAGCTCTGCCGGGGAGCGAGGACGTGTACGGGGACACGCCGCCCCACCACGGGGTCCAGACCCCCGTGCAATGAGCCCGCTCCGACGGGATTTGGCCAAGATTTTGACTTATTATCCCCGCCACGCGGTTATATATAAATCACTGGACTATAAAACGATAGTGGGTGTTTTATGTATGATGAATAGCACTGAGTACGGTCCCCAAATCTGCAGCGAGAACGAGAGGAGAAGAGGGGGGACGGGACGACCCCTCTCTCATCTCTCTTCCAGAGCTCAAGGAACATCAACGTGTGTTCTCTTCTGTTCTGAGGATACCAGCCGAGCACTGTGAGTCCATTCGACGCAGTTTCAAGGTGTAGCCCCCCATTGTGTCATGGAATTATAGAACAGCAGAGGGAGGGGAGGGCACAAGGATGCCGTTGTTTTCAACGCCAAACGCACGCATCCGCTCTTCAACGGCAGAATCTCTTCAACAACACTTTATCCCCGTGTGTAAAAACATTACGATTACAAAAAAATAACAAGGCAAAGGCGTTTTAGTTGCGTTAGCCCCATGCAGCAGAGATGCTCGCTGCTTGATTGGATGCTGGGGGCCACTAAAGAGTCGAGCTCAGGGTGAGCATCTGTCAGCTTTGCATTCATTTTATTGCGCCGAGACAGCAGGCCATGCAGCTCCTATATTTAGGATATGATAACTGAGGTCAGTCAGCGTTTCATCATCCAAAACAGACACGTGTCGATGTAATAATTAAGAGATTGATGATTATATTTGTGACTCAAACTCATGGCCGTGGCTGTGATGTGATCAGCTATCGTTAATAAGAAGATAAAGTCTTATAATGAATCAAACCACCCCGCCTTTATTGTCCTTTAGACTCCCAGCTTCCAAAAAGAAAGGACGGACTCTTGATTTCTACAATAATCACAACATTTGCAACCGCTTTTGTAAATAATGTACTCTAAATGTCATGGTTCCATCTTTATTTTATTTTTTTCCACTGGGGCACTTTTTGAAATAATATTCCAGAAATAGAATTTTTCAAAACCGGTTTCCTTCATAATCTACCTGCTGCCTTGTGTCTGTGTGTTATTTATCGCTCTCGCATCCCCGAGTGCATTTGCTATATTTTTTACGTCATGTAAATTCCGTTTAAATCGTTTCAGGAGTTTGATTCTCTCGCACTATACTGTTGAAAATTGTGAATTCAATTACAAATTCGCACGTATGCTTTATGAACTCAATTTTAGATTAAAAACCATTCGTGTTTTTAAGAGTTCACACAAATCAAAGTCAGAGTGAGTTAAAAAACAGCAAAACTAATCAGAACCGCTCATTGGTTCCCAAGCATATTGTAGGCTGACAAGATTTATCTATTACGTTACACACTTTGGGTGTCTTTAAAGGCGCTTATAAATAAAATGTATTACCCTGTATTATTATTATTATTATTGTTCTTATTATTATTATTATTTTGTCGCTGATGGTGTTGTGATACACACGCAACGTGGGATCGGTTCTCAGTCAGTGACGGTGTGAATGTGGGAATGAATGTTCGTTTGTCTCTGTATGTGCCCTGCGACTGATTGGCGACCAGTTCAGGGTGTAGTCTGCCTTCCGCCCGAAGTCAGCCGGGATGGGCTGCAGCAACTCCACGTGACCCTGTTCAGGATAAGCGGTGTTGAAAATGGATTATTATTATTATTATCGCAGTATTTTCGAGTTGTCTTCATCTTCGCTCGTGTTTTTTTCATCACTTGTTAGCCTTTTGTTTTATATTTGTATTTGTCTGCTTTTGTAATTTATTCTCGAATGGATTTTGTGGAGGATATGTGATTTCTGAGTGAACAGTATTTTAATTTCCATTTCCACAACTACATGTATATACATCTTTTTATCCCGTAGGTGGCCTCTTATTTTATCCAAACATTTCCACCATCTCGAAGGGTTTGTTTCACTCCCCGGGATATTTTTTTACCCCGCCAGAAAGCAAGAGAAAATCTCGTTACATTGAAATGTTTCTTCAGTAGCTTTAATCAATCGATTCAAGTCCAAATTCACTGCAAGTTCAAGTTGTGAGATCTGGATCTGCTCTGAACCGCCCAACGTTGTTTTTACTTTTTCTTTTCCTGCGGTGATATGATTTGTTTTTTGTTTGTTTGTTGCGTTTATGTTTCTTTGTTTGTTTATCGGGGTTATATTAAGTCATATTCCCAGGATGACCCCGGGGTTACAGAGGTGGTCAATGTGTGGGTACTTCATGACTTATATGAACAAACGGACTTGCACATTTTTAAATAACGGGGTTGATATTAAAGAGCTTTTTTCCAATGTCGGGACTAAATGTGTTTTTAAGTCAAAAGTGAGCTCATTCCCTGCCTTGATTTAAGGCCAATGTCTCGAATGTCGTTTTTGTCCGTGCACCAGGTTGCTTTAAAAAAAAAAAACGAGTTTCTCATTTTTCTCATTATGAGGCCCGGCAGGCATTGGTGAGCCACAGAGAGGCCTTTTTATCCTTGCAATTAAACACTAAAAAGAAAAGCTCTAAAAGTGAAATATGTAGAGATAAACATACCATAAAATGCATCATTTGAATGTTTGAGGGGTATTAGAGGCACGCTTTAAAAATGTTTAATGACGTAATTCCTTCCAAACGGAGAATGGGATATTTGTCCTGCCACAGGGCAATACATTCCTATATAACACAACAACAATAACAACAACAAATAATAATAATAATTATAATAATAGTTCGCCCGCGAACCTCGCGAGGATAAGCGATGGTGATATGGGTAATAATAACATCCTGTTTTTGTTTGTTTTTTTGCTCAATATAAATAGAGAAACTACATGCAGACGATTGTGTCAACGTGGAAAGCTGCTCAATTGCAAGTTTACTTTCAGATCGCGCCCAAAAGGATATCTTGAATTCATTCCTGTCGACGTTGTTGACCAGTTAACGTGAACAGAAACAAATTAGCAAACGCGTTCATTTAAATTGCGATAGTTAAACATATTGACACAATAGGCTGCAACCGGTGGGTAAATGCCATCGTTTTACATAGCAGTCAGGTATAATTAGGTCTTAAATAGTATTTAATGAACTCATAAAACAAAATGACCTTAAATATGGCTGTCTGTAAAAACTTAAGTGCTGTGGTTTCTTATTTAGAGGTTCCATTTCCACCTCAACTGTTTTCATGGCATTTTCTAATTTAAGGCAATGCGATCAATTCATTTCAAGAGCAGTTAATTTTCCTGTAAAATTGAGAGTTCCAGTTCACGTCACCGGTAAACACGGCTTTTGAACTGGCGTGTCTATAGAGGCTCCTAATTGTGTTACAAGTCCGCGACGTCCAAAAAGCACACTCGTGTGCCCGCTGTAGCAAATGCAATTAATAGTGCGTCGCCTTAATTATACCTTCCTCTTTATTTAGGTGAAATTTCCCATTAGACGTTCAGGTAAGGAAAAGTGCAGTGTTTGTGTTGCTGCTGGTCGTAAAACGTTGAATAGGAGTAGTCAGTGTCGCAGCGCCACCTAGTGATTGTATGTGGCCCTCTAACTGGCACGATTAGTGGAAAGTGTTTAATATACAGGATACCAAACCAATCCTTATCATGTTAAACATATGAAAAGTTAATCCTGCAGTTTGAAGGGACCGATTTTTCTGATGAATCTGAGGGGGCAAACGATGACAAACAGGATTCATTCAAAAAAATTGAAACCAAAACCAAAAAAACCCCACAAATCGCAAAACATTAAAGACTTCCAAGGATCCAAGGCCAACCTACCGTGTATCAAGTGTATATCAAGTGCTTCCTTTAAAAATAAATAATAATGATAAAAATATCTCTTTTATAATGGCCACTCAATTTGACAGAAAAATGTCAACTTTAGCTATGCGACTTTAACAATACACTACAGTATACGCCAGTCTTCATAATGGAAATAACTGTGACACTTTGATTCATCACAAAAAAAAAAAATGCAGTAAAAGTAAATTAAATTTCTAATATTCTTACTCCTAACAACAGATTCTGTAACAATAGCATGGTGGCCAAATTATTTAATTTTGACAGCTGTTGAGCACCCTGCATAGAATGAACTCATCGACCAAGCGTGTTGTCCATAAAGAGTGTCCATAAATGACAACAGAAGTCAAGGTGATCGGCGATCCTCCAAAAGGCAGAGAAGATCAATGGAAACATGTGTTGGACACTTTTTGGCTTCCAGCGTCTCACCTCTGACATTCTGCAGCACACTTTTCTCAACTTCAGCACATCGTAAATTGATTACGTTTTGGCAGTGGCTTGGATCAAACAGGGAATAGTCACCCCTCACCAAAGACATTGTGACAAGTCAAGGTAAGGCAAGTAGGGAAAATGAAATTAATTCTGGATTCAGGAGTTCCTGCCACACTTCAGTAAAATAAGCAGATCAATTTTTCTTGTAGTATTAGAAATAAACCATTGCAGAGATTACCGAATGCCGACAAACACAGTTGGGAGGAAAAACAGTCCAAACATAAGCCAAACATGAAATATCTTATGGTGCTGCATAATTGCTATTTGATTATCGCCCTTAATCTGAACAGTTAATTATTTACAAAAGCATACAAATCTCTGAAGCAGTTGCCAAAGAATAGTTGATGTACAGATGCTGTCATTGGAAAACTACAGTGCATGTACAGTAGCTGTCTGTAGATTTCATTCTTGCTTGGATTTTGTTGAAATGGCCCCAATTTGCTTCCAAAGATCATTTAAACTCTTTAAAAAACATCTAAAAATGACTGAAGAAAATCCGATGTTAAATTGTGGGTTGGTGTTTTGTGGTGAATGAGAAGAGGCCAAAAAGTTGGTCAAGTCATCCTTTTTGTTGACGTCAAGTCGTTCAGGTCTTATGATAATGCCGTTTATATCATTGAGAGCCGCTCGAAAGCGAGCTTCAATGCACCAAAAGGTCAAAAGACACAACGTTGGGCCGAATAATTTTCATTTCCTGATCATACATTTCCTAATAAACTTGTTTGTCATATACTGTAGTTACATCTTGTGAGGAGGCTTTTTTTTTTTGCACCGCATACACACGCACACACAAACCAAACATTGTGCAACTCCAATATTTGACATTGTTGTTCTTCCATCTCGCTCAGACGCTCTGCTGCTAATTACACCCGGCACACTTAAGCACACAAATACGTGTGTGCGTTCATTTGTAAATGAGTTTAGTGTTTAATTAGAACTTCACATGAACTTTTCTGATCAGTGGAGCGAATCGTGTCACCCCATCAGTGCGTTATTATTCCGGCTATAATTGCTCGACATGCTCATCTGAGCTCCGATGCTTCCAAACCCTCCTGAGACACTGGTGGTCAAGGTAAACCAATCAGAACAGTCATAAGACGTAAATAAATAAAAAGAAAATCATTTTAAATGTTAAATGGATATTAAAAGTCTACACACCCTTGTTCAAATGCCAAGTTTTTGTGGTATACAAAAAAAAATGTGACCAAGACATAATGTTCAAGGCATTTCCACCATTCATGGGACCTGCAACCTGTACAACTCAATTAAAAAAAAAATCTTTGTGAGGGGAAGTGAAATAACCAATTGATATAATCTTGTTGCAAAAGTACGTACACCCTCTTATAAATGGGGACGTGGCTGTGTTCAGAATTAACCAATCACATTTAAATTCATGTTAAATGGGAGTCAGCACATACCTTCTGCCATTTAAAGTGCCTCTGATGAATTAAAAATAAAGTTTAGATTTTTTTGAAGCTTTCTCACGTCTGTGAAAATGGGTTATGGTCTGCCGAAACCAAGAGTGAACTTTTTGAGCATAATCCCAAAAGGGAATGTTTTGTGGCAAACACAAGACGGCTCATCGCACGGTGTGCCGTCTGGTGAGCCGTCACTCCTCTCGTTCTGTCTCCCTATGTTGGTATCGTTGTTTTGTTTCTTGAACAGGTTCATCTATTCAGCCAAACCGTTTTTATTCACAAGGGTCATGGGTGTGCTGAAGCCAATCTCAGCTGTCTTCAGAGGTAGGCGCGGTACAACTTGATTGTCAGCCAAATGCCGTGCACACAATACATAAACTATACACACTTGCAATCACATCTATGGACAATACCATGCATGTTTTTGGAATGTTGGAGTACCGGGAGAAAACCCACATAGGCACGGGGAGAACATGTAAACTCCACACAGGACGGCCGGAGACCGGGTTCGAAGGCTTGACCCCTGCACCGTGGCGCACATGTGCTAAGCAGTCGCCATCGTGCCGCCCTCTTGACT